AGTGGCCCTTCCAGGGTTTGGTGGTTTCTTATTTATGAATGGMGGAAAGGAAAAATAAGGCCAAAACCCCTTGACCTTTAAAGAACAGGGTTGCCAAATTCAAGGGACAGTTTTCACGAAACTGAGTGTTACATTGCTCAGTGTTCTCCCAAAGCACAAGGCCCCCAATTACTGCCCTGCACCCACTTTACGTTTAATAATTTCTAATTCCTGTCAGTCTTGCCCCATGAGGTGGGAGTTCATGTTCAGTGGCACAGATCCTCCTCTGCTGTGCAGATGAAGCGAAGGCTGCCCAGCCCAATCCCCAGGTGCTGAGCCTGGAGCATCGCTGCACACCTGAGGCCTTTCTGAGCTGCATTTCAGCATCTCTGCTCCCTGGGGATCTCACRGGGCTTTGTGCCACTCGGGGAGCGCCAGGCTCTGCCTGAGGCTCCTGTGGAGGCTGGTGACAGATGAGCTTGACAGCCTGCTCAGTCCAGGTGACTGAGCATTAGCTCGCCTGCGAGTACAGGCAGTAAGTAAATCGCATTCCTAATCCAAATTGCTTTTGATAAGAACAAAAGCTGTGTGCAAATGAATATTTCCATCTTATTTCAAATTCTAGGTTTCAACTGCAATATTAATGCTATTTTACAGTGTAATTTACTTGTAATAATATGTCATTATTGTCATTTTACAGTTTTCTCTTAAAGTAGTAAAGAAAATGTTTTAAAAGGCACAAATAGCTGCAGCACAAATCTCCATTCAGCCTAAGAATCTGTGCTTTCCCATCAGAAAGGCACGTAATTGAAAACAATGACATCCCCAATGGGATAAACATTCCAGTCATTAACTCATTTTTATTTTGGAATRAAAGGGTTTGCTTACAGCTTTTTTTCCCAAATTGTAAATATAAATTAAACATTTCTCTTCCTGTCCCAGAATGCCAGTAAAGCCAGAGATGACCTCTAACACTTTCCACAAGTGCATCTCAAACCAGCACCCTGGTGTTAGACATAAACCTCCTCCAGGTGAAGGGTTTCCTGCAGCACAGCACATAAAAGGTGGCCTGCAACAGGAAAAATGTCCTTATTACCTGGTGACAAGTTCCTGAGCACCAGGTGACTGCACTGCTGGGTTGGTGGGAATTGCAGAAACTCAGGCAGCCTTTGCAGGCCAGGCTGTGTGCGAMGGGGTGGAGGTGTCACAAGAAGGTGCCATCACTTAATGGACAAGACACGTGTCGTGCACAGAACTGTAAACCAGCTGTGTTTCCATCCTTCCTGTGCATCTGTGCATGAAAACTGAGGCACTGCTAGTACTCCTGAAGACTGAGAGAACCCATCAAAGACTGTCACAGACTTCTCCAGGAGGATTCCCACCACTCTTCCCCCATCTTGACACTCCACACACTGATAGGGTCAAGGCTATTTGAGATCCGAGTGGTCAGGGGGGCGTAGGTTACACAACAATTGTCTCCTGCAGGCTGGAAGTTTAGCCCAGCAGCAACTATTGTGGAGCATCTGTGAGATTTACACCACATTTCCAAAAATACGATTTCACAGTGTGATCTCTGTCTGAATTCAGCAGAAAAATATTTAGTGGCTGGCAAAATATTAGTAAATAAAAGCAGATCAAGATGTTGTTACAATAACAGATTACATTACTATTCCCTGTCCTTAGGAAAACCCTGATTAGACCAAGATCCTCATGGGGTCTTATGAATAAGTCAGGAAGGGGCTCTAATGACCCTGCGTGATAGCACAGGAGCTGCAGCGCAGCCAGCGAGGTGCCAGGTGCCTCTCRGAAGCTGCACTAGCCTGGATGACTAACAGCAGTTATCACAGGGGGGTTGTTGATTTTCTTTAATAATTTGGGACAGATTTCCTGCTAATATAAACTAGTACTGCTCTATTGAAGCCAGGAGAATGCTGCCAATTTCTAACAGCAAAAACTGGCCCTTAATCTATTTTTAATCCCTTTATTAGTCATTATCTTTTTGAAGAAGTGTACCTCAGCCTGAATACTCCCCACTACACAGAAAAGCAACAGACTTTTCTTGTTAATCAGTGTATGGGAAACTCCAATAGCTGAAGTATCCTTCCACCTTTGCAAGCACACCTAGCATTGATTGYTGATCTTATAACTTGAAATGCATAATTACTAACTAAGAGAAAATTACTTTTTGCTTGTGAGTGTCAGGACAGCTCTGAATCCATGAATGACTTACCCTCAGGCACTGGTGTTTAATTTATGAGTTATTTATCTCCTTGCACACACCCCAGCACAAACAATTATACTTAGTAATTTGTTGATCTTATCAAGGCTGTTTGATGTTAGTATTGCTACCTCCAATAATGCTTGTGCTTTGAAACTTAAATAGAATTTATAACCACATTTGGATACTTCGCGCATGATACATATTACAGGGAAGTTTAACTCTTCAGCAGCTAGCGGGTTTTGCATGCAATTTTCAAAGACTGTTTTGCTGACAAATGTGGCAAGGYGGCCCTTCAGCATCATGAGAGGCCCTGGTTCGAGCTAGCTCTGTCCTTGCACAGCCGGGGGGAGTGTTCCTAGCACGAGATAGGGGAGGAGGTGAGATCTGGTCCCGGCCCAGAGCAGCAGCATCAGCTGCATGCCCCCTGCCCGTGCTTTGGGCCAGCTGCAGTGGCCTGCTGAGGACAGAACCCCAGTGTCCACATGCCAGTCTGCAGTGTCCTTCCTCCCTGTGCGGCCCTGGCTCGCTCCTGGGAGCCTTTTCATGTGCGCAACAGCCTTCCTCATTRCTGAGCAGGGCCTTTATTAACCTTTAAACTGTTACATGTTTACTACGAACCAATCTCTCTGAAACCCTCTGCACATTGTCACTCTGTGGTCAGGTGCAGGCACCAAACCTGGGGCCACACGTGTTCAACTCATGGTGCGCTTTGGGGACAGCAGCTCCTCTGGGGCCATGGGAGGGTGAAGGTCCTCGCAAATGGGATTCCCAAATCGCCTTCAGGAACCCTCCTGCCTGCCCCTTGCATGCTGCTGGGATCATTATGCCAAAATACAGCAAGTGAACTTGGTGTCAGAGGTCAAGCAGGGCAAGGATTTAGTGGAATTGAGGTGGCAGAGACCTTAAAGATCGAATTCCAACCCCCTGCCTTGGCCAGGGACACCTTCCATTACACCAAGGGCTGCTCAAAGCCCCACCCAACCTAGGCTTGAACACTTCCAGGGATGAGGCATCCGCAGCTTCCAATGCCTCACCACCCTCACAGTGAAGGATCTCCTAATATCTAATCCCAGCCTCTTTTAGTTTAAAGCCATTGTCCCCATGTCCTGTCACTGCATGCCCTTCTAAAAAGAAATCATTTAAGTCAGGTCTTTTAATTCCAGGCTCAGGTACCTTGAGGCCTGCTGGTGCTGCCTGGGAGGGATGGAGAGTCTCTGCCTGTGGCTGTGGAGGGGWTGGGGAGGGGGCTCTGCAGCGAGCGCTCCCACTCCCAGCTCTGCTGGGATGGGCTGGGTCAGGGGGGTGAAAACATGGCCAACACAGAGCAGCCCTTCTCCCATCCCTGCTTTCATCGAAACCACCCTCAGTGTGTTATTTATCCGTGTCTGTCGTATCCAATCTCAGCCTTTTTGACTGCCCTGTTGTGCAGAGCTCCTGCCCCGCAGGGCCCAGCAGCGCCAAAGCCGRAGCCCTCCCTCTCACGGCAGCAGGRGAAGGAAGGGCAGGKACCCCATGTTCCTGCTCAGGCAGCCCGAGGCTGCCAGCACTGACTTTGAGAGCCTCAGGTGCGCGCATTTTGTTAACTTACACGAACCACACACCCTTGCAAGAGCTGCAGGTTTGGTTTGCTGTGTGGTTCATCAATTTCTGTGCTGAGCACAACACATTTAGCATGTAGGAAATAGAACGCTGCAGGCATTGACTGCAGAGCCACAACGAGCTCCGGCAGCACCGACCCCAGCCCCGGATCCTGGCAGCCAGCGCGTATCCCACAATATCCAACACACTGCCATACGTGCCTTTCCCCGTGGATCCCAAATGGGCACTATCCGTGCAGAGAAGCCAAAAAATAACTGCTCCCATGACAGCCTTGAGACGCAGAAATTACTTTAAAACTTTCTAAGCCCAACCAGCACAGCGCTATTTCAATCCACAGGGATACTCTGGTGAATACCATTATTTWGATTATCATTATTATTTTTTTTCCAAATCCTCCGGTGGTTTTCCCATTTTAATTGAACTGAAATTGTGGAATAGTGTAATCAAACATTTGGAATTAGTATGGGGGGGGGGAACAGAAGCTAAAAGAAGTGATTATTAATTTTAAACAATTACAAGTTTCTAATGACTTTCCCTGCTGCATCCTCTCTGAGTTAATGAGTGAAGAGTAATGGTAAAATTTAGCTAACATTGTTCAATCTGAAAACTTCACCACACACCCTGATCTTTCAAAAAGCAGTTTTATGGTCGTGTCCTGCAGCTGGTAGAATAAATGCTCAGTGTTTAAACCACCCATCGGAATGGGGCATGCAGMATCCCTGCCTGGGTAAGGACCAGCAGCGCACCTTCCTAATGTTTGCGAAGCTCCAAGGATGATCTGGCGGTTTGCTGGAGCAGAGGCAGGAGGGGAGCAGTCATGGACTGGAAGGCTGGAGACACACGGCCTGAGCAGGGCTGTCCCTGCCCACAGCCAGCACCAGCGGGCAGCAGCATCAATAAAGTGCCAGGAGGTGTCCAGTGACCTCAGCTGCGGTGCTGCCGCTCCYGCCTGTTCTGTGCAAAAGGAGCGAGGGAAAACAGCAACAGCACAGCGTTCCCAAAGCGGGCACTCTGCCATMCCGAGCCCTTGACACAGGGACAAGATCAGGGTGAACTCAGGTGACCAAAGACAGAAGATGGAAAACTGCAGCAGGTAAGAAAGGATCCTTCACGAAAAGTTAATCCTTCGAAACAACTGTGGGAGTTCTGCCAATCTCCATAGCRCAAGACAGAGTCAATGAAAGAACAAACAGACACGAAATTAAGACAATCCTTCTGTATTTTATACATTAATTCACACAGAATGGCCAAACCTGCTTCCCATGTGCTGTTCTGGGAAATGCCTATTAGGACAGAAAACTGTATCTTACACAAGAGGTACCTGTGGGTACAAATAGTCTTCAAAAGTTAAATTTCTGGGGTTTTTATGCTACTTAATGGTCTGAAATGTCACATTTTGGGGTTGAAATGCATAAATAATGTTGCTTGGCTTAACTTTAAAAAGAGTGTTTGACATTTGCTGCATATATCTACAAGTTTTTAGGAGCTGTACATCTTGAATGCATAAACCCACTGAGGAGAAACATGGGCCGCACATATTTAAAATGGTGGTTGTCACAAGTCACCAGTGATAGGAATAACAGAGCTTATCAGGTTATTCTTTCTTTTAATAAAACCTGGGATTCTTCTGGAATAATTGATTAGCTTCAGTAGCTAGAAGAACCCAGCTGTTAAAACAGCTGAAGAGGTAACTATTCAGGCAAATTAATAAACYGAAGCATAGAACATTACAGAATATGTATTTTTTAAGATGTGGGACACATTTTAAGCTCATTTTCTATTTTCAGGATATTGTAGTAACTTGAAAAGATCCTGTCTACTAAGAACAAAGTCACTTGATTTAAAATTATTTTTATTTTTAGAACAAGGAGGTATCATGAAGTRCACACAATCAAATAGAAACAATTCAGGACCACGAGAGTATTTTGGAAATCAGAACAAATTTCAGCCAGGACAAGAGAACACATTTGAGTGGGTATTAGTGCAGTAAAGAGGTTACTTCTCTTTCAGCAGCACAGATACTCCACTTCTCACTCACCTTTCATTGTGTCTAAAACCCAGCATGAGCTCTTCTCTGTTACTAGCACCTTGCTGACTTCCAAGAGAAACAGGTAGGCTCTGTTTTCTTTTGGATTTGACTTTTAACACAAGATTTGATGGTCCTAATCTTTTCTCAATTATGTAACATCAGAATAACGCCAGGAACAAATACTAGCTGCACCAGGCAGACAACACAAAAGAGAATTTCAAGGGTTCCAAAACATCTGAAGCCCTAATTTCTCTGCTCTACAATACTGTCCCTGCTCSTGCCCCCATGAAAAAAGCAGACACTCTTTAAAACAAAATCAACAATTACGTATTGAAGTCATCTCCCCTCCCTCTTTCTCCTCAGTGCAATTAAAGGCATGATGCCAACTATTCAACAATGAGGCTCGTGGCTCTGGCTGAAACGTGTCTTACTCTCTCAGAAATGAGCAGTGAAGCTCAAAGGTGGTATCTCAAGGGAAATTCTTGGAGCAAGATGTGACCAGTGCTCCCAGAGCCTTACACACCAGGAGGAATTAGCCAGTGGCAAGCTGCCTTTTCAAAGGTCATAGCAAGTGAATTTTTCACCATGACACAAGAGGCCTGGCACACCAAGCCACAGATAACAGCACCACTCCCAGCCTTGACCCCAATAAACCTGTGGCTGAAACCCCCGGCACACGGGCACTCAGAAAAAGCCAGATTGTTTTAAATACACTAAACATACTGAGAGAAAGGATTTCCTCTCTCCGAGGAGGAGGAAGTTCTACACCTCACTTTAAAAGATTTTATTTTTGCCAACACCTTATTTTTCTGTTACYCAAAGTGACTGGCTTTCTTTCACAGTTTACAAATAAAGAGGTATGCAACCTCATTCCAGCAGAATAACTTACCTATCCAACACAGCATGACCTCTTCCTTCACAGCAYTATCTGTGTCACCCTCTGCTGGCCTCAAAACCAGACCTGACAGGACAACACACAACATCAGGTACTACTGCTCCMGCCACATTGATTCATTATTATCAAGGCAAGAGTGAAATACTCTTTCAAAATTATTTGAATGAAAAAGCTTCAGTCTCACAGATAACATGATTTTTTTCACATATATTTCCTCTCKCCAGTAAAAATCATTTATGCTTACTATCATTATTATCATTTTTATTATCCTTACTATCATCTTTCGTGGACATCCATCTACAAATTCATTAACTTTTTTGAGACAAATCACTGGCATCCTAATCTTCTGATTCCCATGAAAGACTCACTTTCAAGATACAATTGCAGCTGCCCCACACTGCCAGTTACTGTATCATACACGTCTTAAAATTCTGTAATCAGCATCCACCAGGTGCCGTATCGCATTCAGCACACCACAGTCAGTCAATACAGACATCCCCAAACACACCAAGGCTGGTTTTGTCAAATGTTTTATTGAGTGTAGACATCTGGAGTACTGTAAAACATGCATTATCTGTAGATTCAAAAAGGAGCAAGCCACATTGTCCTCACTGTCAAACGTGTCAGGCTTGGCATACATGATGGAGATTAATGAAGTATCATGAGAGTAATATGGTTCCCGAAAAGCTTCTACAATTTGGAGTAGGGTCTTAATCGTTTGAAATGCAAAGCTGTTCACATTTAGTGAACTTGCATGTTTGCTGGAGGTGCCATATTTTAATTCAAAACAAACAAGAATAATTTCACTGGGGGGAAGGGAGGTTCCCTAGGTAGAAACTGTAKGCTTTTTGTTTCCAGATATTCCAATTCCAAATAAAAATTCATATGYTTTTTGAAGCAGCACAGTTCATTTCTGAGAGCACAACATCTGATATTCATTTCTTCTTGGGCTGTTGAGGTGTATTAAATTTAAAGAAGATAATATCTCCATCCTCTACTACRTAATTTCTGCCTTGTTGTCTGTACTTTCCGGCAGCCTGTAAGTGAAAGAGACAAAAGGAAAATGGGTTATTTCATTAGATGTTTTATGGTATTTTCAAATGGCAATTATTTAAATACATTTTGGTAAAGAAATGGTAATACTTCAGCTTCAGAGTTTGACAGTCACAATACTCCTCAGTTTGACATCATTTGGTTTGACATACACATAAAATACATATGAAAGTAACTTAGCCTCCACGGATCTGCAGTGCTTAAAATGCACCTGCATTATATAGTGGTAGACCCTGGCAAGATAAAGGACACTGAAAGAGTTCAATTTTTTTTTTCTTTTCTTTTTTTTTTTTTCAATTTGGCTTTCTTTTCCTTCATGTGAAATCCCTGCAGATGGCAAACACTGGCGGCAGGACTGTAAAGCAGCGTTGCTGGAAAGGGCGGTCAGCAACAGTGGATGCCATGGCTGCTCAGCTTCCCAAGTGACACCTCGGGGCTCCCCAGCCCCGGACAGGAAGGTCCTGGCACCACCAACCACAGGGACACCCTGTAAGAGCCACAGCTGTGCCTGACTCGGGCTCTTATCTGCCTGTGCCCACATAATGAAAGGCTGAGGAGCACAAAACACAGTTCTTCTGTCAGAGATTTCCTTTAGAAGAAATCTGCTTCAGAAGGACAGATAGGCTGTGAAACCAGGATACAGGAAAAGGCATATGGACCAAAGACATGAAAAGAAAATGCATTATTAAAATGCTGTACTTGAGGAGAGCAGAAAATAGGCAAGGAATCTATTAAATATCAGTACTTTTCGCATTAGAATTTATTATTATATTTTTCTACTGTTATCTCATCGTAATTAAACCCAGCATTATAGAGGCTGTGGCATTAGGCCTGACAGGCTGGGCGGGAGGTGGTCTGCGGAAGCATTTATCTTGAAAAGTGTCTACAATATGGAAAAGTTGAGAGCTTCTGCTTTAGTTCAATACCCATTCCTGTTTTGAAGTTTTCTCTTGCGGGAGAAAGTGCTTCCATGCAAGACCTCACTGTGCCATTATTCTCAATGACACTATCACAGTGGTGGCATGCTAAGATCGCATTACAGGAAAGCTGTTAACTAATGACCTTAGTTGCTGTAGAACAGATCAGATTAATGGTACACAGTTAACTTAGACACCTTTCTTTCACAAAACCTGCTCTGTAAAGCAACGCGTTTCCCCATATTGCTGCCTAGAAATTTAGAGCCTGGACAACCTTGTTGCTGTCATTCCTTATTTAAATGTTGTTCCAGCGATGCTACCCTATAGAAAACTGCAGCTAAGATAGCACCGACAATAAATGTATACTGAAATAGTAATTGACCTCACCCCATATGACACTACTGACGCATAAGAAATAGTACTTTGCAAATGTTTTCCTATTTCTTTCCCCTGGCAATCTGTTTAGACTGTAAAAMGTTTCCTTTTACGTTCTTTCCTTTGAAGATCCTAATACCGCTTAAAGTCAAGAGTAATTAGACTAATTGATGGCATAAACACTAATAAAACAGTGCTGTAAAAATCATCAGAAAGCATAAGGTGCAGACACAGGTACAGAAACATTTTACAGCTGAATACATTTATTACTCACAAATATTTGTAGAAAACACTGTCCTCCATAAAGTAGCACAACTAATTTTTTTAGCAAACTTGTGCACATTATCAATGTGGCATAGATTTCTTTAATTAAATACATTTTGATRCACTAATGCAAGTTTATGTATTTTTGTTACCAGTTTACAGTTAATTAAAAGTGACAGTGTTCCTTTAAATTCTCTAGAGACCATTTAATCCATTTCCATTGCTATCAGAAACACTGGTTGAAAAAATCAATACCCATTTGTGAATCTTGAGTATGTATTAAACAAGACACGTCTAACCAGTTCATTTGCACTTGAAAGCAGCCATCTGTAGAAGCCAGCTTTGCCTAAGCAGATATGATTGCTAATAATGTGATATCCCTGTAGACTACAAAGCCCACACAGAGCTATTCAGTGTATAGTTCACAGCACTGGCATTAAATTAGTTATGCTGTACTGGTGTTAAACACACACAAAATCAAACTTAAAAATCGATCAACTTGATAACATACAAAGCAAGCAACTCCCATTACCACTGTTATTTGACTCCTAAAAGYGCCTAAATTTAATTTTGAAATTTGCCAGCAATATAAAAGTAATTAGTATTGTCGATGGCATGAAACGTTGTATTAAATGCAAATTAATAAAGACCAGAGGAATATGACACTTTATTCTAAGAACAAGGTTTTTTCCTAACCTTTATTTTAAAACTGAGTAACCAATGTAAATCTGCTGGTTTTACAGATACTTAACAATAAAAATTTATTCATTAAATATAATTTGAGCATGGAAGCTTGATTTTTAGAATCGCACATGGTGAAAAGCAAATACAAATACACAAGCAAAATACTGATTAATTTAATAGGTGTTAACTGATGTAGCCTCTCAGGGAAAATACTCATATTTGAGCATCAAAAACTGATGCTAGCAAAATTTGAATCTGTTACGTAAAGTGGTTTCTGACTGCAGAATATTAGATTTATTTATAGCCGTGGTTTCCCTTTACAACTACAACTCTACTTCCCTTTTCATAAAGCAGTTCACATGCCGCAACGAACCAATTATACGGGATTTTTTTCCCTCACTTCCTGGGGTTCAAACAAACCTATTAAAGTCCCGCTGCTCAGTATGATCTTCCTTAGTGATACCACTGAGAATAGGCTGAATTTGAAATCATAGTTTTGCATACCTTTCAAGCTATCAAACAGCAAACAATAAAGCTGAACCATTTAAATTCTTTAACACATTATTGTGTGTAGGAACCTTCAAATACCGAGCTTGAGTAAATCAAACTAATGTGCTTTGTAATTGCAATTTTATAAAATACRAATCTTAAGAAAACGTCAAAAATGCCAAACGAGAAATCAAATGTATAKGAAATAAAGGTAAGTTTCTCTCCTTAAAGAAGGTGGAAATAATGCATTAGCAACACAGAGAAGAACAGCTTTCCTTATGACATTTTTGCCACGTACAAGTTCATTTCACACTTAATAACCTCAAATCAGATATAATTTGTCAGCTCTAAAAGGGCACAACTTTGGGCACCCGAGCAGTCTCTGCCCTCTAGTGTTGAGAAAGCAGATAAAACTCTTCTCAATACAAGTGTCACCACAAAGAAGCAGAGCTCATGAAAAAAAGTTTTCCATTAATATCCTCACTGTCTATTCAGCACATAGTAGCCACCCTGAACGATCAAAGTAAGGCATGGCATTTTTGAGTAAGAYATSAAAGGGCAATTGAATAAAATACTGAAACAGTAAATTTTAAGATCCTAATTATGCTTATCAGAGCCTAGAAGTGGAACCCACTAATCCTGAAAAGAAGGTACAATTTTATCATATACTTTCTTAACCACTTGCATCTGTCATTTTTAATAACTTTATTCCAAACTCAAAATAAGATAACACATTTTTAGAAAAAACAGATTTTCGTTTCTCATTTCCTTTCAGAAGTGACTAAAAAAACCACTCTCATATTAAAAATCTGATTTTTAAAAACAAGTTAGTTYTACAGCTGATTAAATTCTGAATACTAATATGCAAACAGAGAKAAAAACACCCCAACAAATGAGCATAACCTTAGGTCTTCGTGCTGTCATGTAGTCCATGCACTGTTATATCCTGGATACTGAAATAGTTGCATTCCTGTCCAAGTTGGTGAAAACATGAAAATGGATTTTGGTCTATTGCTAGAGGTGACTAAAGATTCACTTATCATTAAGAACTTCTTTCCAGTGAAAAATCAGACTTAAAATGGAAATATGGCACATATGGAAGAAGAAAAAAAAGATGGGGAGCTCACCTTRACAGCAGCCTCTGAACCTCCTTCTTTAAAATCTTCGTATTTCATTACTTCAGCCATAATGAATCCCTTTTCAAAATCTGTGTGAATCTTTCCTGCTGCCTGAGGAGCCTTCGTCCCTTTCTGTCAAAGGAAAGACCAGAAGAAAATTAATTGCATTTAAGAAGATTGATTGCAGGAAAGAGGTCTCTCCTGTTTTATATGCTTTCAGGTTCTGCTGAAACTTTGTTTCCTATCAGCTAAAATGTCACACATCCAGCTGGGCGATCCTCAATATTGGGACACAGACAGTGCCTTCGTCACAGATAAACCAACCGACATTAAAGAACAGCAGCTTTGTTTTTCCTAATAGGTATCAACGCCAGTATTGATTTCAGAAGCTATGACTGTGTTTTGTTGTGAGATTCACTTCGACCCCTAGCTTTCTACACAGAAAGTGAGGAAGATAAAKATTTTAAAATAACTTTTAAATCTGAATTACTCAAGACTTTCAYTTACATCCAAATAATTTCAATTAAATAACATTCTTGGCAAACCACGTTTGAAATAAGAAATGATGTATGGATGCCAGGCTGTACACATTAGCTTATTTTTATTTCAGAATAAATTCAGTAAGTTTGATATAGAACAAATTGAGTATTCTTACCAAAAGAAGAACAATTCAATCACTAAAAAATAAAAAATTACAGACAATATGATAATTTAAGTTTATGCAATAGAGGAGAATGCATTATGACTGCACGCTTTAAACTGAAAGGACATACATTCTGTGCACATACAACCATGGAGAGAAATTTGAGCAATAATGGTGACCTAAAGGCTGCTTAATAAAGCATGTTAAAGTGCTAAGGAGTCTGACACTGTAAAGCACAGTTTTTACAATAAAAGATGTATTGGGTTAATATGGCTACTCACTGATGCTTACCTGACTAAATATCTTTGCACATTAAATCAAAGATACTCACAATCAGTCTTAAGATAAACCAGCTTTCAAATTCTCTAATAAAGAGCAAGCACATCTCCTACTGAAAACAGTGGAATTTCACAATGTGCTTTTAAAAACCATGACAAGAATCAGAACAACAAAACTCCTGCTTTCATATTTTTTCGGTCCCTATTTCAGGGACTTTAGCAAGCAGTTATTATGTAAACAGATGAGAGGAAAAGCTAAAAAAAACCCACACAAGCTTATAAGAAAATAAGTTTAATGTGCTTACATACACAAACATCTGTAGCAGTACTATTAAAAATATAAATTTACAGGAAATTATGTTGATTAATGAAAACAAATTAATTCCAGTGAATGAAATTAAATACAGCACTGAAACTCATTGCACAGCCCTAAATACACTGATGCAAAAAATAAAAGCTCAAAGACTGAGCTGCACCTCCAAAAGTTGACATTGTTGTAATTTTTAAGGTAAGAGTTTGCAACCATACACATTCCAAAATACTTTTCAATACTGATCTTTGTATTATAACATATTTACATTCAAAGGCAAACCACTACAGCGCAGCTCTTACTGTCCCCTGGGAATAAATTAGTTGATCTCTATGGCTATAATCATTCTACATCAATATTTAAAACACATAGTATCATTTGAAGCATTACGTAAGTTCCCAAATAAACATATAAAAACTACCAAAATAAACTAGTCTAAATACTAAAGTCAGTAAAAGACCTGAATTACTGCACACTGATTTTAGGATTTTGAGCCCAACTGTGTATCCATGAGGAATATAATGACGTTATATTGCTTTTATTGCTGAAAATGTAATCCCAGCAAAGCACAGGAGGAATGAACCATCCGCAACCCAAACAAACTTAGTGAATACAAAATGAAAAGCAACATCAATTTCACTGCAGACAAACCCAGTCACACAGATTAAGCAAGCACAATACTGGTACGTCTTATCTCTGACCACAGGAGGAGGGTAGACAGATTCTACAGGATGAAGAAATTCAGACTATGTAATAGGCAGAATCAATTGTTACCTGCCTCAATCAATGCAGCTCCACTTTCACTGTTCAGCAGCTCACAAATAATTAAAGTTATCCTGGACAAAAACCTCATCTGTAATGACTAGCTAACCGCCACCATGACAAACTTCAAAGTCAGTGATATCAATCTGAATTCAATAGTGTGGAACTGGATATAGCTGATGAATAAGTATGAATCTTACCCTGATGGTCCATGCACGCACTTCATCTGGGCCTGCAGTGAAAAAGTATTCTAGTTGGAGTGCTGCATATCCAGCCTTAATGATCTTTGCTAAAGCACTGAAAAAAAAAAGGGAAGGAATCCAATTCACTCAGCATATACACATAAAACAGCTAAATGCGCCAAGTAATCAATTTATGTAGAAAGACATGACRTATTTTGAAGATACCAGGTCTACTTTTAATCACAGCAATAATTGCAGTAGCCCTTTACATTGAACTCTCTTCAGAAGAACTACTTTTTACTGCAGAATCATAAAGATAGTATTTTGATTTGTTTATTTGGCAGGCTACAGAAACATGAGATAAATATAAATCACCCTATCAGGCAGCACTCTTGGTCTCATGCAATTTTCAGGACTCCAGGTCATGAAAGCCTATCTGTTTGACTGAAATTCAATATTGAAACAATTTATTACAGTTCTTCAGAAAATTATGGCAAAATTTTCTCCACTGTCCTTATTACCCGGGGATGACGAAACAGTTTTGGTGATCGTTCCTTCTCAAAAATATACATAACTAATACCTATGTTATAATTAAAACACTGTACAGAGATGACAGATGACAGTTAAAAACTTAATTTAAAATAAATCTTTTCACTCTGTCTCATGGTAAAGAAAGGAGAAGATTCTCTCTTTATAATGGTAATTACTCTGTCATTTATTATTCTATCAGCGCAAGCAATTAAATTACTGCAAGGAAATAGTTGATAATAAAGTGTAGAGAAAATGAATGCTAATTAACCTTTGTGTCATGTTCTCTTCCAGATACTTCTGTTTCTCCTCAGCACTCATATCTTGCAACTTGAGTTCCAAGGCCCCACTAAAAGGAATGACCAAAGCACCCGGGTCGTGCTTGTCCACCCACTCTTTAATTTTTATCAACCTGTAGACAACAAAGGGCACAACATTATCTTGTAGTGCATGCATGGCTGTACCACATTCATTATTATCAAGTAGCACATACATATTCATAAGAATTGCATGGATTTATGATGCCATCTTTTTGTGTATTGCTTTCCAAGGTCAAGGCATTAACAGGCAGCAATTGCCTCAGGTGTACTCCATTTACATTTCACTGTTTTTTTGGTTTTTGTTTGGCATTTAATCAATCAGAAATAGGCATAATTTGGGACAATAACTAGGTGTTTGGCAGAGGTTAAATTCTTACTATCTAAAAAGTGAATAAAACTTCCTGAGAGAAAAATATATTTCCAAGAACATATTTATTAAATGCAATAAAACTGAGGGCCTTCACTTTTTCTGGACCTTTTTTTTAATTAAAAAAAAAAGGCATCTCAGTAACTAAGGCTTTTGATATTAGCAGATAGAAAAGAACACCATACATTATAAACTCCTACATAGCAGGCTGCACCTTTTTTTTCTGGCTGTTGATCTTGGAGTATGCCATAGCTGACCAATACAGGCCCATGTTTCTACTGGCTTTTTCCCATGTTTCTACTACTGTCCCAGGACAAAGCTTCTGGATACTATACTATGATTATTTTTTAATAAAGAAAAAAATTTTCTATTCCTCTAAATCTTCCGTAACTGGCAGCATCCACAACAGTTTGCTGTTCATCATTTTTAAAAAGTTGAATACAACAACAAATTTAGAGCTACAAACTTATGGTGTTAGTTTTTGAATGTTAATTATCCTATTAAAGTTAACAAAATKGTCAGCCACCTGGCAGCCARGAGAGCCAAGTGTGTCCTGGGGTGCATCAGGGCCAGCATTGCCAGCTGGGCAAGGGACGTGATTGTCATACTCTGCTCTGCACTGGGGCGGCCTCACCTCAAGAACTGTGTGCACTTTTGGGCRCCACAATATGAGAAAGATATAAAAGCCCTTAGAGAGTGTCCAAAGGAGGGCAACAGAGGTGGTTCAGGGCCTTGAGGGGAAGCTGTATGAGGAGGAGCGGCTGAGGGCACTTTGTCCAGCCTGGAGGAGACTGAGGGGAGACCTCAGTGCAGTTACAACTTCCTTGTGAGGGGATGAGGAAGGGCAGCACTGATCTCTGTCTGTGGTGACAGTGACAGGGACCAAGGGAATGGCCTGAATTGTGTCAGGGAAGGTTTAGGCTGGGTGTTAGAAAAGATTTCTTCACCCAGTGGGCAAAACTCTCAGGCACATGGTGTGACTCATGGGGAAGTTTTGTGCAGGGTCAGGAGCTGAGCTCGATGATTCTTGTGGGTACCTTCCAACAYAGAATATTCTGTAATTCTGTGTAAACTTTACAGCAAAAGCTGGYGTTTAAAAAAATCTTTTAACACAAGCTTCATATTTCTGAATGCAAGTATTTACTGTAAGTGTAAGGGAGACATTCATAAATTACCTGCAAGGAKTTCACTATTGTTAACAGGACACTATTTCTGAACAGGTATGAATAGTAAGAATGACAACTCTATATTCAGCAAACACAGGAGCCATGGGAATACTTCCTGTACATGAATAATCAAATTACAACACACAGTACTTTGGGTGCCAGAGATGTTTCAGACCTGAAGCACCCACCATACAGCACAGGGCTTTATGCCTGTTGAGTTCTTTTTCTTAGTCCTGTTAATCTGCAAGATTTAGACTAGGGTTTTAACTGCTATTATACTAAAGTGCTTTGAAACTGTGGCCTGCAAACCTTTAAATAATCAATGCAAATGTCACTTCAGAAAAAAATGAACTGAACCACAAGTTCATCAACACACATTTGTCAAAGAAAATAGCAGGGGATCAGAGCTATTATGAGATTAAGTGCATGGCCGACTGAGTAGGGGTTTAGATGGGACAAAGAATACAGAAGTTCACTCAACAGTTTTTACACGTTTGTTATACAAGGCTGGTCTTCTATCATTTACTTATGTAAATACCCCGTCAGTGTTTTTCAATCCTCATTATACTAATCTTTTTTTGCCTCCAGACAGTGAAAACATAGTCTGGTATCCAGGACTGATACTGAACYGCTATTGCCTTCAGAAACATCTGAACTGAAAATCACAATTAAGGTGTGTTTTTCAATGCCACACGTGACATTTAACAGCACTTCTAAAACYGACATTTGTAGATAACTGATTTATTTTGGCTAACAAATTGGGTATCAAAGTTGAGAGCTTATAAATGCCAACTTTTACAGAAAATGTATCTCAAAATGAATCTACAATTCGTAAGTTTACTTCAACATCTGTGCATACATAGATTTTCTTTAAGTAATTRTCTAACATTGGTCTCTGATTAAATAATATGCCAAGTGAAGATGGAATGAAACATGCAAACTTGAAAAAGTGAAATGAGCATGAAAGTAATGTCAAAAATTGGATTCAAATTCTGTTTGGTAAATATGGTCATTGTAACTAATAAACTAAGAACTATTGTGGAACAACAAGATAAGAAATAATTACTTTGGCTAAAACACCAATTCAGAATAATAATAGTCTTAGACTGTCATTTTAACAGCTTTTCTATTAAGTCCTTAGAGGGATTATTTGCATTCCTCAGGTATTCTATTGTACGATTCAGATGAATAAAGACTTACAAATCATTCCTCTACCGCCAGTGTGAGACTTTGATCCAGTGAATACACCATTGTACCTTAACTATAATTGGCAAAAAACCTGACAGTGTAGAGCATCACAAGCTTAATAACAAAGGAGAATATCTCAAAGTGTTGACAGACGATCTTCATAATGCAGGAGCAGAGCTGGGACATTTTAGCAATAAATGAGCACTGAGGTCTAAAGGTCTCTGAAGTGACTGACATCAGACCTGCTATAGGCTCACTAAAAGAATAAGGTACTGCATCCTACTCTGTACAGGCAGTCAGGTTCTCTGCCCGAGTCTTTTACTTTTGTGACTTTCAATGTCACAGGAATTACTAAAAAGTATCAAGGAATTCCCCTATATGTGATCAAAATAGAGAAAATAAACAAAAAAGTAAACACTCAAATATAAATACTGATATATTTCAAAATTACATTTCCCCCAAAGAAGAATGCTTAACAATCAATAAAATAATAGTGCAAGTTTGCATTCCTGTTAGGTATAACCAAGTGTGCCAAACAGAACAAAATGGTCTTAACAAATGGTATTAATGTCAATGTCTGTTTTATTTGAGCACATAATTTTTCCAAAGGAAATTATGTATGTCTGTAAAAGGACAGCATTAGTGCACTCATTTYGGGCCTTTGTTAAGATAAGCAAATCCTGGAGTATCTCTGTTATTTTATGCTATACTTGAAAATGAACAATAAAGAGTATTGGATTTTACACTTAAAGACTTCTGACACTTAAAAACCCCACTACACACTAAAATGTAACAAAATGAATAGTAAAAAAACACCAAAAACTAGAACTGGCAGCACCAGTCATCATATTAACAGCTGAAACTACTTTAAGAAACAAGAAACTGCTTAAGATGAAAACCTATCTCAACAAAGTAAACCAAAACCTAAGTGAAAACAGTGTAACAGTGCGGGATTTCTTCRACATCCAACAGCCTTTCCTGACTGAGATAGCTTGGTTCCTCCCTCCCATCCGCAGAGGAGTGTGCCAACAGCAGCTACAGAGGGCTCCTGAATTGAAATCTGATTGATGCCACAAAACAGACAAAATATCTTTTCTGGAAAAAAATAAGAGACCCAAGAGACAGCAAGACATTGATTCATTCTGTGACGGCAAGCAGAAAAGCATAGGATGACTGTGTAAAAGTCTGACACCAACACAAGAACAAAACCAAGGCAAGTGCAAAACCAGCTCTCATCAACTTGCAAGTGAAGGCAGCACTCAAAATTCTGATCAGGGAAAACAGTGAAGAGGAATTTAGATGCTCATTTCCACTTAAAAGTGCTGCTGCTCTTTGATAAGGATGTAAGGAATATCAGCAGTGTATCAGCATATCTAGTAAACCATAGGTGCCAGTGGCTTCAGGTGCAGACAGACCAGGACAACTACCGGAGTTACCTCCTGATCCTAAATCATGACACAGATCTTGGAGAAAGGCTTGAAAATGAGGGCACTCATTTGGCTGAGAAGGCCAATAAGCAAAGAGCACCAGAAAGGGGAGTTGTGCAGAAGCGGGTGCCTTCACTTTAAAATGGTGAGGCTTACTGAGGCAGAAGAAACCAAAACCTGCAGCCAACCAAAATAAAAGGGTATAAGAGTTGCAGAATGAACATTACCTACAAATCAATATTTGAGAGAGTTTCACATGAGAGATCCAGCTGGGAACAGAGACAGAGTTCAGATGGAAATCTGAAGTAGTGATGGAAGAGAGAAGCTGCAGAAAAAGCTTAAGCTCAGTGGACACCTGCAAGACAAGATGATCTGAAAACCTGACCCCTGAGAAGAAAGGTGATTTGTGAAAGTAAGCTTTTGTACAAGCAAGACCAAAAAAACCCAAAAAARCCATCTAACTCATGGAAGAGAAACAACTATTTTTCTGTTCTAYATCTGAACTGTGAGTAGAAAATGGCAGACAAAAGAGTATGGCAGAGACAAAGAAAACAGCAGGCAGCCCAAGAAGGAAATAAACAAATGTAGAAAAGATAAAACTAAATTATCAAAAATATTCAAAAGACTGAAAAAAAGATTCACGGTTATGAGGAATGAGAAGTAGAGAACTTAGAAATTCCAACAGACTCTTCCCTGTTGGCAGATTGGAGCAATCCTGATTTTTAAAACCTTCTAAACTCAATCTATTCAGTGCTTGCTCCCTATTGTTGAAAAGTTTTCCCTTTGTGTAGCCTAAGCCACCTTTATTTTCATTAAACTGAGCCTATAGGCTATGGACTGGGAAAATAAACCTCCTATTTATATCTCAAAAATTTAAGGTAGTTTTCATTTTGAGGATGTCCTTGTAAGCCCCATTATTACCTCTAACTTTGAACCTTTATTTT